GTCCTCACACACACACTATCAATGCTCGATTGCACGGACGAGATTTGCTCGTGAGACGCTAGCAGGGGTTTCTAACGTTTATGCCCAGGGCTGTAGACGAGCCCGATCCACCTGGCCGCGGATTATCACCACGACAATTAACTTACTGACTATCATTAGTATCCATTTTTAACCTCATTCTGCATCAACATAGTGTGCACAGTCAGGCAAAGAAATAACTTAGCTCCATTTTCAGGCGGCTACAGCTGAAGGCTTACGAGCGGCGCGTCCCGCCACCCCCGAGCGTGCCCTATATCGGTGGATTGCAACTTCGTCACTTGTTAGTTCTTCATGCTCTCTGCTGCATGAAGAGCCTTGCGGACAATGTTTCCCAGGAGGTAGAAGTCGTTGCAAAACACCTTCGATTTGATGCGACCCAATTTGGTGCTGTACGACTCTTGAGCTCCACTCCGCCAACAACGGTGATTGGGGGGGTCAAGGCGACCTTGTGCCCGATTGCACAATATAATATTTAGGCGCTTTGGTTTGGCAGGAGAAATGTCGACATTCTGATTCTCCGTTCCAGAGCCCGCGGCGGCGTAAGTTATAGATATACCGCCGTTCTTGGACACCCTCAGTCCGTTCGATGGTTCGTTTGTTTGTACTCGGTCATCTCCTGCCTGGCTGTTCATGCTCGGAGCCGGAGCCAGCGTTGTCGTACCTGGCCCGTCCAGTCGGGTCTGGATCAGAGGAGCAACTTTTCCCACAGATAATGCCTTGGGCGTCTTCTCCTCATTGTCGAGTAGACTCGCACGAAACACATCATTGAATCTAGCGATGGGAGACCCCAGCTGCTTGAAACGGGTGTCCGCTGGAGTGGTCTCGAGCAAGACGATGCGCTACTTTGCTCCCTCATTTCCTTGCTTCTCTCGGAGATCATGGATGTAGCCAGTGTCGTGACAGCCGGCGAAGAAAACCCTCCTGCGTTAAATCATGTTGTAATAAAATTCGAACATTTTCCTCATCTTACTATCAGCATTCTCTTTTTGCTTTGCCGACGTTGATAAAATCAAATTCAGCGAGGCTCCTGTTGAATCCTTCGGCAAATCGGAACATCTGCTCTTTTGCTGCGATAGAGTTATTCCGGTACAGAGCCGTGGCCAGACCACCAAGATTTGCCCAGATGTGTACTCCTATTGTCGTGTCTTCTTCGGAGAGCCCTGACTCTTTTTCACTCAAGTAGTGTCTGACGGCTTCCCTAAGTCGGTGGGCAGCATCAACTCCACCGGCCTCGGAATTTTGGAGGAATTCATCTGCAAATATTGCGCCATCGCCATCGCCATCGATGAGGATAACTACGAAAGCCTTCTTTTCCTGCAGCTATGTCAGAGTAGAGCAATGCTAGAAGTAGGACGAACGAACGATTCTGCGCTCGAGACTAGACAAGGCCTCTCTTAGCTGTTTGCACTGTTTTTGATAGTCACATCGCGATTCCTTCTGATCATCTAACTCCAGTTCTAAGGTATTCAATCTCGTCTCTCGATCTATGAGTTGCTCTATCGCATCCTGGAGTCATCAGCACCCAAAACATCCTACGGACTTTAGCATGCGAATCAGCTAAATCTGTAGCACGTACCATCAAGAATCGATTGCGACTGTCATCCATGCTAATATAACTGGTCGTCTGCTGCCTCGCATGCTCGATGTTGAACCCGAGTTCTAGCGTCATATTCTTGCCAGCCGTGACTGCGGTACGACGACCTTGTTGACTCGATGATGATATCCTAGCTTCCGAAATGGCCTCAACGAGATGAAAGGCCTGTATTGTCCAGGATAATAGTGTGAGTACATCATGTTGAGATGGATTGTGTGGGATCTCTCTGATAATGGCACTTGGTCCGGATAGAAAGTCCTCTCCCGTGCTGTGGTAGGTGTTTCATCAAAGTAGTGCCTTCCGCGACCAATGATCATGCCCCTGGGGCCAGGAGGAGGGCAATATTAGGCAAACCAAGAATACCGCTTCGGCGGAGTCCGATCATTGCCAGAGAAGAAGGCTCATTTAGCCTTTGCGGGGCTTTTCAAAAGACTTCCTACTCGTTCATCGAGAGACAGCATCGATCAGAAGCGGCGGTCGAGGGAGTAACCCGACAAATAGAGATGTACAGCATTGGTCAGAACCAAGCTCATAGGTAGGTATGCACCGGAACGCTGGCACATCATGTCTCGTGAGGGACCTGCATGCATAGTTCTGTTACAAGAACTTGCCGCATCCGCAGATGATGTCTGTCGTGCATTGCGGCTTCTTCAACGCAGTTGCTTTGCACGGTAGCGAGCACGATTCACGCTTCGACCGCCAGCGCGTACTAATCACTCCATGCCGCGTGTAGATGCCTGCCTTTGTGCACGTCGACGCATATCTCCGACAGGGCTTGTCTGGGTCAAGGATTTGTGGATCGTGGGATCTTCTTTGGTACATATGGGCGAAATGCGTCTCGTGCAGCACGACAACGATGTAAACGGACTGGAGTTGGGGCCGGCATGCAGCAGAACAAGATTGGAGCTTCGGAGATGCTTAGCTTTGGCGGCAAATGCTGCCAGCGCCGATGAAGCAAACGGGGGATAGTGCATTACGTTGAAACTGTGCCGCCACATTTCTTCATGGAGCTATTGTATCTTACCTCTGGCTCATCCCAGGATCTCGACCATGGTCTGGTCGAGCTACATCGTATTGATGGCGGTCGCGGCTTAGCTGCGGCCATGGAGAGAGAAGTACTGACCTCTACCATGGATAGGCGTTAGCAAAATGCTTGGAATCTGTCCGCCATACGGGTGTTGAGCCGTGCGCTCCGACGCGCCACCCGACATGGGTCGGTGAGCTATTGTACTAAACTAGCATGGAAGGGCATCGCTTGTTTTCCCATCTCCAGAATACTCACAGACTTGCTGAAGTTCGCTCCTGGAAACTCAACAGGAACTTTGTCAAGGCTGCGCAATGTTCCGCATTGACGCTGTAGAAGCAAAAGGCAACGGAGTCTTTGCCACACAGCCGATTCCTGCAAGCACCTTGATACTGTCAGAAGCGCCCATTGTCACAATTCCAAAATTCAGTCATCAGGAACGGTATTCCACACTGGTACTACCTCAGTTACAAAATCTCTCCGCCGTGCAGAAACGCAACTTTTTCGAATTAAACAGCAACTTCCAAGACATGCGGCCAATCGAAAGCATTACGAAGACAAATGCTATCCCTTTGGGTTCCGCGGCATCGATGGGTGGCGTCTTCCTTAAGTGCTCGCGCTTCAACCATAGTTGCACCGCGAATGCAGCATATCATTGGAATGAGGACGTCGAGGAGGAGAAAGTGTACTCCGTCCGTGACATAGACGACGGCGAGGAGATCACAGTCAATTACCTGTCCGATGAGGTGTGGGCTTTGCCTGGCAGAGAAAGAAGAAGGCAAATACAGGAAGCCTATGGATTTGACTGTGTATGCAGTCGTTGCATGAATGGCCAGGCATTTGGAGAGGGTGAAAGTGATGTACGAAGGACGAGATTGGGTGACATCGACAGGGCCATTGGTGGGGGTGAGCTCATTATGACGAATCCCGCGAAGGCTTTATCAATGTGCCGCGAGGCACTTGAGCTCTTGCATAAAGAAGAGGAGGCGGCACCCCGTCTAGAGTCCGTCTACTACGACGCTTTTCAGATATGCATTTGTCACGGGGATGTTGTACGCGGGAGTACTTTTGCCAAATTGGCGGTGGAGGCAAAGCGATCGTGGCAGGGAGATCGCGCCTCCGGTTTAGCCAAAATGGAAGCATTTGTGCGTAACCCAGCTTCTCATGGCCTGGCTTTCCATACCAAAAAGTGGTACTCGGGCAGTACGAGAGCAGCAGGGAGGCTGGGACAAAAGGACGGGGAATGGCTGTGGCGCCGCACAGGATAGCAAGTAGTCAAAATCTTATTAATTTGGAGCCATGCTCCTATGTTCTTCCACCCGAGCCAAGTCTACCAACTATAAGTTATCCGAGTCCACCCCACCATTTTTTATGCCTCGCCCATCTAGTGGATGGACTCTTAAGCACGCTTCCCAGATACAAAAATACAATAATCAACATCCGGCTTCTGGCCTCCTCCTGCATCAACTGTGGGACAATCAAATCTCGGGCGTCTGTTTCTCAAAACATGCGACCCTTGTTCCAGCCCATTGCCTATTCTTGAATCATATACCCCTCCGAAATGTCCGCATCCTTCATTCTTAAAGTCTTCGTTAGCATTTCCGTGGACTTTGACGACATGCAGGATTGCTACCGCAGACCGTGCTGCTCCAGATGTGAGCCGGCGACGCAAGACTTCGTGCCTTTCTAGTCATCGCAAGCTTACGCCACGATGATCACAGTGCCTTTGTCGACAAAGGGTTCCGAGTATCGGTCTATCCGACAGTCGTGTCCTGCCCATCTGGCATTCTTCCACAGGCAGACTGGAGGCGTCGGTGACTACTGAGCTGAGTTGCCGAGATCTTGAACACTAGGCTTTGCACGACTGCTATGCCTGCGCTCCCTTTCCCGCTGTCCTCGCCTCCGAGCTCTTTTGTGTCTGCGTATGCTGTCGATGCATTTGACTAGCTCGTACCTATGTCGCGGGCTTGAGCGCACATCGTATTTTCGTGATAGAAGCTGGCTGTTGTGGTAGACAGAGACGGACTCGCGGGTTGTTGCAAGCACGACTTCTCGCAGTTCTGGGCACTGGGTCACCGCTTCATTAGTATTGATCTCGCGACCCTCTGCTGTGGACGGCATACGAGAAAACCAGATAATCTGTGGTCGGCCGTAGGGGGACGACAGGGATATCCGCAAGCCGATATCAAATGCCAGACGCCTTGTGCGGTTTTCTCAGGCGTTGGTGCTTTTTGGAAATGACGTCGCATTGGTTCGAGTGCCTCATGGTCCGAACCATGGCACAGATCTCTCAGAAGCTGCGCAAACATGTCTTTCTCGTTTTTCCTCTCCAGTGAGATCGAAGCACTTGTGCGTGGTGCTCTCATTGTAATGGGTGTAGCAATGTTTCGTGGATGTCGTTCGTGTTGTTCCTCCAGGTTTGTGTTGCTGTTTGCCAAGCCGGCTTTAGCGGAGAGACGTTGTCAGAGCAACGGCGCTTAGGCAGCAATGCTGGCTGGCTGTTACACTCCCGCAGTACTTCGGATTGCGCGAATTTCAATCAACGGATCATGGGCAAGCGACAACACCGTCACATTGGGGCACACAGTCCCTTCGAGTCTGGTCAACATGGTCAAGGACCATCTGCACGTCGTTGGGGAAGAGCTCATCTAGATTGGCTGGGCGTGGATTTCAGCGACCATTGGCGCCTATTCGATGATACGGCTAACAACCAGCATGGCCTCTTCCCACGCACGGTTTTCCCTGTTCCGGGTAGTTCACTCGCAGCATTGCTCAAAGACCGTCTGGGATTATCATGGGAAGAGATGGACAAGCTGGCACCACAGCATCTCCCGGAGCATTACAAGCAGCTCTTGAAACTCTGCAAGCCTCGCAATCCAAGGGAAATCTACCTGGAAGCATCTACATCAGTCGCAGCGACATCGCCCCTCTCGCGCCTAAAGCCTATGCATGAATACTTGCATCGATCTCCATGCCCGGAGTCATCGACAACACCGGTGTTGGTTTACGGAGCAGACGCTACGTGTGGCGTACATGCGCGGCCTTCTCCTCCGTCAAGTCCGCCAGGTGTTAAGAGGCCAGACTCCGCGAAGTTGCATTTGAATCATCCTCAAACACCGGCGTCTAAGACTTTTAGGACGGAAGATTGCAGCGAGGTGCGAGGGAAACAACTGTCTGAGACAAAGCGTTATCCATTTTCGCCATGCGGAGAAATGCCGGCGACTCCGATTGAGGGCGGGACAACGCAGCAGTCATTGCCGTCAGGCATCACACTCAATACGGACAGTACATACAGCACGAGCCCTACAACCATGCCACCGCCAATCCAAACCGCCGATAAACCAGAAAGCGAAGTAGCTGCTGCTGCGCGCTCGGTGCTGTCTGTACTTGAAGGTGCGCTGGAGGTCTTGGCGCATCCGCTCGAAATTGACTGCAATATGCGAGACTCAACTCCATTACGTTTCGTCGTTGAAGGGCTTCAGTGTACATGCAAGCCAGATATCGAGCTGGAGGTGCGCGCAGTGGAATCTGCGTTTCAAGATAAATTTGGGATCGTCCATGGAGAGGTACGCATTTCGCTTAACTTTCGATCTCAAAGACTAAGTGCATTCGCTGTAGTTCAAACGATTACTGCACGGTCAATCTCCGGATAACATTCTAGGACAAGAAGTGGCAATTTTACTGAGTATTGCTGCTCGCCAACGGCACGCGAGAGGTGGACACCGTGCAAAAGCGAAAAGAAGAAGACTTCTTAAAGGCAAGCTGATTACGGTTAGGTTTCTTGCACTATCTTGTAGAAGTGGGAGTCAGCAGCTAATTGTTGCAGACGTATTTGTTTTCTTGGCAGCATGATGAGGTCTACATTACGCGACTGGATGTTAACTCTGACGACCTGGATGAGATGGCCCAGAGACCATCGTCTGAGCAACAGTCGGGGCCAATCCCACCTCTGACGGTCCATGTCAAGCGCTCTGCCCGATTTGACCTGAAAATTGCGCACGAACGAGTTCTTGCCCTTTGTGCAGTCGCAGCGATATCCATCCAAGGCCTGAAGAGATATACTAAGTACAAAGAATTTGTGGATAAATTGTGTCGCGCGGATCCCTGAGCAGACATTGCGTCTCGCCACTACTCATTGCACTCGTTACGTGCCAAGGACCTTTGACCGCAGAACGAAACCTATACCGGTAGACGGATGAAGAGGCAGGTGGCGGTGGTGATGGTGTAGTAAAAGTCTTTCAGTCGGTGCGTTGGTGGACTCGACGGGAGCCTATCGTGGGGGGAGCCGGCGTAGGTGAAAGGGTCCGAATGCGAGCCAATAGCTGGGGGAGAAAATATAATGGGGGTAGACTTGAATAACGCATAGTTAGTAGGCATGCTTGAAAAGCCTCCAGGGGTCATTCCACCTTTCAACGTTCTCATATCCATTCGTGTCTATCGTCATCTTGCGGTCGCAATATCCAAGAAACATCTTCCTGCGCTGCTGAAGCCGTTTGATGCTCATACACCCAATGACTATGACGGATTCCTTCGCCTCCTCGCATTTCAGACTGGCCACAAGCCGACGACTCATGCGGGGGCGTACGCATTAGAGACTGCATTTGCCGCCAAATTGCAGGCAGACTTGATCTGTCGATACCTCGAGAATAGTCGCATTTGGCACCAGTTTCTCCTTGTCGGACAGAGCGATGTCATCGAGGCTGCTGTAGACTCTTCATATGATCGGAATAAGAGGACATATGAGATCGCAGGGTACTTTCCGGATCCGCCAAGGTTGAGGTCCGACGATGACGAGGAGTGCATGTCTCAGACTTGGTCGAGCGCGGCCTCCGATGTTGAGGATGGTTGCGAAAGCGACCAGGCAGGTCATCAGTCTCATCGCGGCGAAGTAAAGAGACACAGGCGCAGGCAGGGGCCATTAGGTGAGCTGGATAAGAATATTAGTCCCGTGTCGAAGAAAATCAGAAGACTGCAAGAAAAGATCGAAGAGCTGAAGAAGGCAAGGGCTCTGTAGTATTCTTATGAAAGTTCTCTTATCAAAATCTCCTCCCTTGTGCCTCACGTAGCCAGATAATTTGATACGAAGATGCAAAAAATGTTTCCGTTAAACCATTGCTTACAGATCCTGTTAGGCGAACTCTCGATCGCGCTACTGGGTGTACCCATTGCGATTCAGCGACCTGCATACGGTTATACGCACGGCACCAAAAGCAGCCGCTTCTACACTCCAAAGCATACAGCGGAGTCTACTGCATGAAGTTCGCACCTGCATCTATTAAAATCAGGATAGAGCTCCGCGAGTACAGGACATCCCAGTATCGCCAGATGGGTTGAGAACATGCAAATAACTCAGTCGTGATTTTCATTACTCTACACTAACCTCATCCAGAGCCGTAGCAAGCACTGTCTTTCTCATGATGATGATATGAGCAGCTGTTTGCAGATTGCGATGTCTGATTGGCACCGAATCTATTCGGACGAACTTTGAACATCTCTTTCACGAGCTGCTGTAGAAACTCGATGTTCTGGCCTCTTGGCCACTCTTGAGAGCCGTGGTAGGCATACATGTCAACAAGCAACCTCCTCAGCGGGGAGTCTTCGAGCGTGTGTTTGAAAGCATGGTCCACTGTGGTGCTCGCAGGATAATAGGTCTTGTTGTTCAGATCAGGCGTGTTCGTAGCTGCGATTAAGGCGTCAATGGTAGCGTCCTGGAAATTGCCATCCTGTACCTTGTCTCCGAAGATAAACGCATCGACCAAGTTACGGAACTCAACACCATCTGTTCCTGATTCCTGTGCAGGCCTACGGACGGCGAGTTTGTCTCTGTACAGCCACTGTCGGTACAGCTCCACCGTGTCGTAGTCATCGTCGGGTAGAGGCACTTTCCCTTCCTGGCCTTCTTTCCAGTCTTCCTTCAGGCTCGCTGCAAAGAAAGGGGAGTTGTCGCAGAGGAGATCTTTGTGGATGACAATGTTGAGTTCCTCTTCCCCGACCACCAGGGTAACGACGTCATCGCCGAATCTACCTCGTTGTTAGCTACTCCATAACATCGCGTCAACTGGATTACCGTGCTTTTTGCGATCCGTCTCGAAACCACGTGGATCTGCAGGCATTATTGTAGGCTTAAGAGTAGTTCAAGGACGTCAATAGGCTTCATTTGCGATGGGGTGGAGCGACGAGGGCCACTTTTGTAATGGAAGACCGAAGAGCTCCAAATAGTATTTTGCTTGGAACATCTAAAACAGATGATGTACCTTTCGAAAGTTTAGATATGACAATGAGGGGTTCGACAGCATTTGACCTCAGCCGCTCAGCACTTCTCTCTCGTTGCTCCATTCGAACCCACACATCGCTGCGAACTCCTTGTGCACGAAGCCATCGCCAAATATGACCTCGATCAAAGTCAAGCCAAAGAAGAAGAGTCGTTTGGGTCTATTCCAGGAAGTTCCCGAAGAGAATCACCTAGAGTTTCCTCCAGAGCCAGAGATCGAATGGGGCTACGGGACAGTGACCTAGACCGGAGGCCGATTCTCGTCCGAGTTTCGTCGACTTTTCCGAGTCTCGTCGCTCAATCGACCTCTTCGGGCTTAGCGGCCATCGCGTCCGGTCGCGTAGGTGATCAGCAAGGACCTCCCTCCACTCTATCGTGCTGTTAGTTACAACAAACTGCTCGTTGACGATGGAGCTAACTCATTACAACTGGCTATTCAGTCACTCTGAGGGCCCAGAGTCGGACACATCTGCTCGAGTATGTCTTGCCACCCGCATATTTACCACATATGGCTATCTGCTAACACTACTGCAGGCAGAGGTCACCATAAAATATATCCTCGAGTTTCGTATTGCCCTCTGCGTGACTTGCAAAGTTGCCGTGCCAAAGAACTCCATGGATAGCCATTTGCGTCCTTGGCATAGGGCCGTCAAGGGTCGTCGAAAGGTCAGGGCAGAGTTCGATGGCCTCTCCATCGCAGCCACGATTGCCGAGCTTCAGCCGCGCCCAGATGGATCCCCTCTCATTTCTGCTGCCTCCCCAGCCTGGATTTTTCTGTTCATGAGTGTCCGGAATTCAAGACCATTGACTACGACGTGTACAGTCAGCACACTGGCAAAGTTCACAAGCGAGCGGTGCGTGTCGCCGATAAGAAAGCCGTCTCTTGCTTTCTGCAGCCATGGACAATCGGTACTACTGGAAGGTTGATGCCGGCTCTGGTGCGAAGAGCTGCCGCGATACCAAAGAGGAGGCGATCTTTGAATATCGATCGGTTGTTGACCCAGCTGAGCGTACTCTTGCAGACATGGAGGCAGACGAAGAAGCTCGCATGTGCCGAGAGTATGAGCAGAGCATTGCATTCGACCAGGACCTCGACATGGACGAAAACAGCGACTGGCTCCGAGGTTGTGGCTGGCCACATTGATTTAAGCAGAAGCCAGTTCCAACTCTGCTTGCAGCTGCTTCGATACCCGAGGCAAACCGCCAAGAAATGGCACCGAATGGACTGTATAAGCCCAGCCATTTCTGAGAAAAGTATGAGGCTATTAGTACTTGCCTTATATCACGTCCTCGCGCGATGTCAGAAGACATTGCGGCATATCCCACGAGTGTTGAGATGTTGGGTCCGAAGCTGGACGCATGTCTACTCACCTCATCCTTCTGATATCCCAAGCTCGCCGACCGTACGGAAATATAGTCGAATTTGGATATCTGGCGTCTGCTACTTCGCATTCGCTTGTTGACACAGCGTCTGCGCGAGTCTACCACACACCTCTGCGGCTTTGAGTTCACCAATGCTCAAAAGTCAGCTATGGACAGCGTTTGGGCAATGCTGCAGCATATTCCCGCTGCGGACGATGACGAAGCAGCGCAGATTCATGACGACTGTCTGGAAGTGCTGTTTCAGCTTTTCGTTACATTTTGGACCGAACAACCAGGTGATGGAGATCTCAATTCTACTGCGATCGCACGGTTTTCTGGAATTCTTGGAATTCATCCGCTGAAGCATGCCTTTCGGAGGGCCTACGATTACACGCCCTTTTTGTCAGCTCTGATCTGGATTGGTAGATTGCTATTACTGGAGTATTCACTACCACTGCGGCCTTACAATCACCTTCTAATCCCACGGCCTGGGCGAAAATCCTATGCCGACTTCTACACACGGCCTTGTACGCAGATTCGATGGAAGTATCTCTAGCGAGGCAGTCTGTCGCCAATGGGGTACCTCATAGAAAGACTGCAACATGGCAGGGCGATAGCAAAACGCGAGGGACCTCGGACAAACATTTCATGGTCTTTGGACGGGCAGACCCTATGTTTCGGTCAAGCAGAAATATCTGTGCCACAACTTCGATGCGCTGTCCATGGCGTAGTAACAAAAGTGAACCAACAAATGGAAGATCTTCTATTTGGTTGGTGGCCTGATACTCAGCTCGAGGGGATCCACGATGACATGTCTAACCGCCGCCCTGGCGTCAAAGATCCCAACAGCGAGTATAGCTTGTGCGTCTCGCGCGCAGTATCCAGGCCTCAGAAACTCTTTAGTGTTATACTGTACATCACCGTCTCGTGAAGAAGTAGCAAGCCTCTCACCCATTTCAGCGGGCCCAATACTCCATCTGCCTTGATAGACACCTCGGTAGAGACGTATTTGTCGAGTTGATACTCGTGCATTTGCCCAGAATACCACGTGCTGAAGACATGCATAGGTCGCCAAATGTCTTTCAGTTCTGGGATGAAGATGCTGCCAGCTCTTGTATTCTTCAGATAACCGATCCGTAGGACGTAGCCTTGCTGGACAGCTTGAATCAAATCCCACGCCATAAGATCCATGTATCCACTGCCTGTCCAAGTATGCCCAGATCGACGTCCCTGTATATACCTTTCAAGTCTCAGAGCCACCTCGTGGTGGTTTCTCTGTAGTTGAAGAGTCAGGGCGTAGAGCTCCATAGATTTCCAGGGTGACTTTTGCAGATGCATTCTTGTGATCTCGTCGACTTTGGGCAAGTCAAAGGTACTAGTCCTGATCCGATCGTCTGATTTAAGCTCCCAGAGAAGACCACTTGTGCGAACACCCGACTCATAGATTTCTACTGGACCAAATCGACAATGCTTCAAGAATGTTAGCTGCCGTGAAATGTCCGGAAGTTTCCAAGAGGCTAGTGTGGCCTTCTGTAAAAGTCTGTCAACGGAGAAGTCGAGGAAGCCTTTAGCGTGCCAGTCTGAACAGGTGATCTCTCCGTTCAACAAGTATTGTGTGAGTAACGATAGACTCAGACTTTGTTTCCTTTGCAGGAGTGCTTTTCCGTCTAGACGAACTCCGTAGCCGCAAGAGTTCGCAATAATCGCTAGCGAGTCCCAAGGGCGTGTAATGTTTCGCCGTCCGACGTCAGCGTGTATTCGAGCAGACATAGGCTCAGCGAGGATTATGTTGTACTTCGCCACGACGTTGCGGGTTTTCAAGCACAGCGTCTTATAGCGCGTCCAAGATCGATTAGCTTGCTGCTTGAGGATGTTGGTGCAACCCAAGCAGGCTTCTAGGAAGATTGTCGCCTGAGTCCGAAAATGAGTGGCGGAGACACAGTATTCACCTGGAATGTCTCCACTACCAGGAATACTCCCTACACCAGGACCCAGTGGTAACAAAATATCCATTTTCACACCTGCGACATACTCTTCTTGAAGAGTCCATGCTCTGGTCCACCACGAGTCTTTTGTTATTCTGCGGAGCACTTGCATCGCTTTCTTCATCGTGGTCCAGCTGACGCTTTGGCTCAGTTTGCAATGGCCACCTGTGGAGAACGCAAATTCACCAGATACAAGTCGGACGAGAATGCACAGTTCACTCTGTGACCTGATTGGGGTAGACAGCAATGCAACGGACTTGTTCGCATGTTTGTAAATTAGATCCATGGAATTCATGGCCTCTTGCTTTTCCTCCTGATCGTCCTGATTGATGCATATTCTGTCTATCCAGAAGATGTCGAAGCCCGTAAAGAGGAGGTATTTGGTCGCTCTATCAATGATACAGTTCCTGACCTTTACTCCTACCACTTCTCCCGTGTGGCTATGCTCGACCCAGTAATTGCCAACCTTGTCGCTTTCATGTGTGGAGGGATCCCACGTCCACGAGAGAGCAACAAATCGCTGTTCCAGGTTTCGATTGCGAACACCTTGGAAAGTTCGAGGTGAAGACCGCCGGAAGCGAAGACAAAGGGGATTCTGAACCCACTTGTGTGCTTTCCCCACGTTCATGGCATAGTTTTGGATGTCAAGTAATTCCGACACTAAGTTCGAGTTTCGCTGATGTAAGATCCTCGAGATCGTAGTCTGCCGATCGTCCGGTTCCCTAACGTTCGTCGCCATCAGATCATATGACTGTGTAGGAGAGTGTGCTATAGTCTGCCTTCTGAAAGAGAAGCCATCAAGATTCTTACGTTCAGCCTTTCGAGTCTCACCGGTCACGTGCTCAAGCTCGGTCGATGCAGTCAAACGTCATGGCTGTTGGAAGGTGCTGCTCCACTGCATTTCGAAAAAACTGTCTGAGTGCCAATTCACATGATCACCTAGCGTTCCGGTTTTGATATACTGCGACATGTCTCACATTTCTGAGTCATCTTCTGGCTTCATCCAGTGGACCTTGAAGGCTTCGAGGTTGGTCTTACAGCTCCTTCAGTACCTCGACAGTCTACGTTGCCGAGCAGCACGGCCAACATACAAATGCGATCGCCGTCCACCTAGGCGACATAATATCTTCGCAGCATCGACTTGGCCTCTAATATCTTTTCGTAGACGAACCAATTGTTTTGTACTATTTCCGGGATCGCCAAGATGACTTAGTCCTTCCGTTCGATGCAAATTTTAAAAGCACTAGAACACGCGGACTTGAAGATGCGAGCATTTGCCCACACATAATTTCGAGTAGGTGAGTAGGTAGTCACACAAGATGTGCAGGCTGCCGCTGTTGGCTGCTACCCGATGGAGAAGTTTGTGCCTGGCGTTCAATCGCGTTGGGCTCGTGCATAATGGGCGGGCCAACTTCCAGAGATGATGTTCAAAAGCATCAATCTTGCCTGTCAGGACGATAATCTTATCAAGTCAGGACCTAGGATGAGCGGAGAAGTCTGCACAAGGGACCGTAGGTAAAGAACGTCCATGATTGGTACCAAATGTATGCTGGTTCATAGCGAGCATACTACGAAGTTTCAAGCGCAAACATTGTGATCTTTTTGTCCCTATTCCTGTACGAGAATATCTTGTGTCTGGAAGGTTTTCTTGTCCTTCTTCTTCGCCTTCTTGATCTTTCTACCTTCGTCGACGGCCAAGGGAAGGCTCACGTTGCCATCCTCGCCATCTACTCTATGATTGGTTGTGAGGTCGGAAAATGACTGTGCCATAGGTCCGGGAACGTCGACAGGTCGTTCTTCTTCACTCTGCTCATCTTCAGAGACGTCTCTCGAAGTGCGCTTCGCTAAATAGACACTAGTATTTGTCCGAGTCCTATCCGTGGTCGCTACAATCGAAAATGATCAGTGGTGATTTCTGGACGACCGTCGTGCTTCTGCACCCACCAAGCGAGGAGACACTGGTGTGCCTCCTGCAAGTCTCAAGACTGGCCTCAAGAGTCACTGCTCTCTTTCTTAGATCCTCGCGCCGCTCTGCACTGATCGCAGATTCGCGAGCGATGCCATTAATTGTCTTGGCATCCATTTCAAGCACTGCCGATGGGGAAAGCACGCTGGGAAGGGACTTTATCAGTTTCTCCTCCACGCACTGTGTCGAAATATTGTCAACCACAACCTTCATCGCTACCTACGTCTGTCAGTGCCAGCCACATGCACGCTAATCATGACGCACCTTGTAGTATGCCAACATACAGTCAACAGCCTCGGCGCAGGAATACAAATCCATGTCCGTCTCGTTGCGGGCAGACAGTGCTGAGATCAGGCTAGACTTTTTCAATTTCGAGAAGGTCATCTCCTCGAGCATTTCGCCTTCGGGTGTCTTGAAGAAGTTCGCCAACCGTGTGGCCAGGTCGTCATTTAACCTTTTACTACGCACATTTTGGATTGTCTCCGTGAAGTAGTGGTTGTATGTTATGGGATGACTGTTCGCGTAAACGTCAATGACGGATGCCATGGTCTCCCTCGCAGCGGAAGCCTGTGCATCCATGATGGGGTTGATCAGGTCACGGAAGATTGCTTCTGCAGTCTCGTCATGAGTGAGATAGGCGATGGTCGACTCGACAAAGAGCCGGGTCGCATCGCAAACAGCTCGCAGGTATTTCTGGGCCAGAGCCTTCCATGGAGACGACTGCTCGTGGAAGAGATCCGTGATGAGGAGCGGATTGTACGTTCCTGGAAGCTCGCGGCCTCTGCTCCTCGACAGCAGCTCCTTGGCGTGCGAGATGTACTGCTGGCGGGACATCTTCTCGGGATCACCTCCCTGATTCTCGTGGTTCCTTGTCATTTGCGCAGAGGAGATGTCGTACAGGTGGCCACGAAGCCGCATCGCTTGTGCAAACTCCAACGACAGGTTCTGCACCACGGCTCTAATCCGTTTCTGATAGCCGACGTCTGAGCGAGGATCGCCAAAAAATTGATCCCCATACGTTCCGTCGATGGCCCCTTTGCACAAGTTTTGGAATTCCTGGGCCAAGTGCAGTAGGAAACGCCGCTTTTCATCGAGAGTCTGACGGCTGGAACCCATCTTGCGCAGGTCGACCTTGCACTCATATAGCTTTTGTTCGATCTCGCGCGTGAGAGCGGGCAGCTCGCTTCTGATCTGGTCGAGAAGGACTCTACTGAGTCTCGTTCGAAGGGGTCCAACAGCCACGGTTGACCTGGGCAGCTGGCCCCAGACTCCTTGTGATAAAAAGACGAATTCGTCGTGATCTCGCTGCTGAGAGCTGCTGTAACGCGAGTGATAGTCTCTGTTCTTTAGGACATGCCAACCAAGATTGAAAGAAACCTCTGCGTTGCTGGCAAGGTTGAGATATGCCATCTCACTTTCCGAACCCACAGAAAGGGTGTCAGGCTTAGTTATTATTCCCAAAGTGCGGACGCCGCGCGGATCCACCTCCTGGGCCATTTTGAGCACGACCTGATTAGCGTAGTCGTTTTTGGCGGAGACAGTTGCCAGAACGATGGACCTGCTGCTTTCCATGTACCTTTGCACCAGGGTTTGGACCAGATGGACGTCTTCGGCAGACTGTGTTTTGCTGTGGGAATGAATCAGCCCAGGCAAGTCGACGATCGTGAGGTGAGGCCGATCTGGACCCGAAATGTCGACTCGGAGGACATCGTCCGTAAATGCAGTGCCAGTTTCGTTCACACCCATGTGCTGTTTGGCTGACTCGATGACATCTGCGAAGTTGTCTAGATCTGCTAGAGACTCCCGGAACGCTGGCAGGGGTCCCTCTGCCAGTTCCCGACTTCTTCCCGGCAGAATGGTCACCTCGACATGTTGCTCTGGTGTTCTACGGAGAATGACTTCTGTTGCGAATCTCGTGCAGAGGCTGTCTTTTGTGGGAAAGGGAATTCCCGATATCGCCTCCAAGACTGAACTTTTCCCGGAGGATTGGTCGCCGCACACAACCAACTGAGGCAGAGCAACATAGTGGCTGATCCCAAATGATCGGAGACGATCGATGTCGTCGAGAAGTTGCACATCGGCTTGTCGGTGAAAGGTCTCAAGGTCAAGGTGATAGGTGGTGGAACCCATTGCGACTGACTGTTCACTGACTTGAGACGCACCTTCGCGGGACATTATGTATTAATCACTCACAGGTCGAAGGTACGCCAGTCGGCACGCTAAAGAAGGCGAGACGCCCAACATCTGGTAGCACAATGCACTAAAAGTCCGTACGGCAGGTACCTGTGGTATGCCTTTGCAGCGGCAATGATCCGCTAACACGGCGTGGTACACCTGCCCTAAGGGAGTGTGAGGCTTCACATTCATTCGGATTGGTGAAAGAGTTTCATCCAAGTGTGTTGCTGCGGGCAGATTACGTAGTTCGGAGAGGATGGTCTGAGGATGAGGTCCCCCTTGCGGATCATATGCTTCACTTTTGTTTCAGAAGAGCTTTCCAAGAGCTTGACGATCAAGATGAAGCGGGCGAAGACTTAGCATGCGTATCTCAATGGAGGGCTTGTTGCGCGAGGCGCCAGCGAGGTTAATATGCTTGAGCAGTCTACCGCTCCGATAGTCTTGATAGATTGTAAAATCGCCTTCGTTTATGCGATGGTGACCAGGAGTGTCCGCAGCAGCTTGTTCTCTCCGGAGGCTTTCAACGCTCTCAACGGAAAGCGTCTGCTTCGATTCTGCAAGTCTTTGCGAAGCTCCGTTTTGTTTCTATACCGTTGCACCGGAAGTTCACCGCTTTCTCGCCCTTTGATCAGGTCCCAGATATTGATCGCAACTGAACGTAAAGCCTAGTAGCCTCAGCAATCTTCACAACACCCTGTGTCGCGGCTCGTATATTCTTGCATTTTGAGATTGAGGCACCCACTCCCACGCCACAGTCGATGCACAACTGCTGCCATCGGTCCAACACGCTATCATCGCGCCCGTAGTGCAGACTGAACGTCGCCATCGCAGCTGCCAGTCGTTCGTCGCTCGACGCTTGCGCACGCTTGCCTCGAGATTTGGATTTAGTCATACTGGCGGAAACACACCATCAGCGATGTCGACTGACATATCGTGGCACGCACCTGAAGACCGCAGTATCGAGACAGCCAGATGGGGACAAAAGGTCGAGGTGCTTCTGGTGTGCTGTGGAGTGGGAGAAGTGAAAGAGAGTGCTCCAGTCCCACACAGGTCATGGGTCTCCCTTTCACGGCGCGTTGCGGAATGTCCTGTATGAGCTCCTAGGATGCTCTCCTGCGTATGAACGTACCACGGCGCGAGAAATGCGGTTGATCGTTCCATGATGTGAACAAAGCAAGCCACGACACCTGCTCTGCCGGCCTGAGAATGGCATGAATAAAGTCATGGGGAGCTCGTCACTATTGATAGGTCTACGTGTACTGCGACGATTTTCAAAGCGAATGACGTTCAGTTGGTGCAGTCTTCATCAACAAAAGAATAGGAGATGTCATCAATTCACGTCCACCAAATACCCAAATCCGTGGCGGTGGGAGTCTGCAAAAGACTGGGTCCAGGCCCCACGCTTCGTACCTGCATTTGCCACGGAGAAGAAAGCGTCTGAAGCCTAGCAGCGATCAGACGTTCTCGCAGGAAAGCATATCGCACGGCCAGCTGCGCCACTCCAGTTCGTCTCAGGATTTGCAAGACATGAGGGAACTTGTGGGTCGTCATGGTCAGGAGCTTCGTCCAACTTTGTATGTCAGCAAAACTCCACGGGCTGTAGAGGCGGACTTACTGTGTCTCTGATAGAGAAGTCCCCAGTACGAAGCAGGCGCCACCGCCAATTTTCTCCTCCAGAGTTTTGTATCGATAACCACATTCAATCATGTTCATCAGCGTCCGCAAACCGATTTCGTAGGATGGACACATCGGTCCCAACGGCAACGCGTGAGCCGCCTGCTCGACAGGCGGGCAGCCAAATCGCTCGCGATATTCCACAAGCAGCACACAGGATAGACGTTGGACGATCCGGGACTATGCGTCATCCCTTAGCGCCCGCAAGTACACACCCATGATGTCTGCTTCTGGACTCGCGAAGTGTTGGTGACCTGATGAGCAGGGTTGCCAGGCGCTAAGCGGGTCACCCAGCCACCTGATCTCCGACTCCTGCAAGAGGGAGAGCGTAGTGCTATCCGTTCCTTGAAAAGTGTCGAACTGCTGGAGGCGTGACTTATCATTCTGATTGGTTTGTCGGACACGAAACCTGACAGGTCGAAAGAGTGATTTCCGCTCGGTTTGCAAGACGTGGAGCTGAGCCAGCAGATCCTGTAAATAATGGCTGTCCTGAGCATGATCAGTCAAGGGCGAGACATGTAAGATAGACACCCGCTGACTTTCGCCAGGTCACCGATCAGCCCATCGGCGACACGGTGACCGCTGTCCATTGTATCGATCGGTCGTGCACGGGAGTCTCGCACCAAGTCAGCCCGCCACAGCTTAGCCACCGAGAGCATCTTGCGCCATGTGGACAGCTGTCATCGCATCTAGACATATTTGCCGGCATGCCATAGTGACTCGAATCTCGTTGCCTTTGTTATACTCCAGATTCTCCTTCTTCGGCTGTGTACTCGGCATGTGGACCACGATAGGTGGTGTGGTTGTGCCAGCGAGCTTCTCTATGCTGTCTCGTAAACATTTTTCCGTGACATCGCGAGCAAGGACTGCTGGCATGTCTCGCACAGTCTGCAATTGTTCCAACATCCGGTCGATAATTGGGTTGAAAATAAGTCATATGGATCCGGAAGTAAAGTGAATAGTCGAACTGATATTGCCGGCGAAGGCTGTCATTTGCTGCAGTTCCCAAGAAAGACTTCTCGGAAACATCGCAATCGCTGTTGATGACTCAAGCGTCGTCAACCTCATTATCTTTTCCCGCCCTGACTGTATCTTGTCCATCACTCGTCTTTGGGTTTTCGTCCAGCATGTCCTTCAGCCAGTTCTCAGTCTCGACCGCACGCCACCGCTTGGTCGAATCTTCGCACAACAAGCCTTCCAGCAACAGCCGGACATTCATCGTCGCGGTGACAACATGTGATTCGGTAAGTCTACGGATCCAGCTTTCGTGCTGAATTCTGCTTGGGGGGCAATCGGATGACCATGCGTTCGAACGCGCGTCGTACTCGGTGAGGTACTGAGTAGCGATGATTCCTAAAGACCACATGTCGACGGCGTTCGTGTAGCGCGTCTCCGGCGTCCAGAATTCTGGAGCCACGTATATACTTGAGCCGGCGTATGTTTTCATGCTACCCAAGGCATCGAACTTCGCTGTTCCAAAGTCGGCAATTTTTGCAGTCAACAATCGTTGTCCGTGCTGTACCACCAAGACGTTGTCTGGTTTAAGGTCTCGATGCGTGAAACCTTTCGAATGCATAAAGCTGAGTCCACTCGCGAGGTGAAGCAAAAGCTTGGGACTGTCGCGGCGATCAAGATCGAATGAAGTGAGATCACACGGAATCCATTCCATGATCAACCACGGTGGTTCGTTCATGTGCCATCCTGTCACGACTTCTATGGTCTCGACTATGTGTGGCTTAATCCTGTTAGTACGTCAAGCGAAAAGCGATTCATCCGTTGAACTTACATGCCGAAGACTGGCCAAGTTCTTGAACTCTTGTGTTAGGGACTCCCAACGCTTTCGAACCAAGCCTGCGCTATCTGCCATTTTGAAGTGCGGCACCTTCGCAGCAAAGACTTCGCCAGAGTGCAGCTCGTTCACCCTCATGACAGATGCAAACGTGCCTGCACTTGATGTTCCAGTCTGTTCAAGTTTGTAGACTGCTTTGTGTTGGCCAAGCCTTACGTGGAACGTGGACGCACCCACAGACGGGTCGGTATATCCAGAAGGCCTTGGCAAAGACTCCATGAATTCCTTGCTGAATTTCTCGGCGTTCGCTCTGTAATTTCTCTTGCCTGAAGCCGAGAGACTGGGCTGCCAAACCCGAAATGTGATTTCGCCTAGGTCGATAGTGATTGGTGAAGTGAGTTCCAGGGAATCCGTCTGGTTAAGCACAACGGTACGGTCCCGCTTGCGCTCATCTGCATCGACATGTACTTGAACAGGGTTTTTCGAGATGTTAGTGAATCGAGGGTTATGCGAACCCGGTGAGAGGTCGATCCTCAAGTGCCGTCGACTAATACCACTCCTGTTATCTTTGGCGAGTTGTATGTCGCAAACATCGGGATCGTCCGACGACCCCAGAATCCAACCGTCAGGCGAAAACATATTTTCTCCAAAAGCTAGACCAAGGAATGGCCCAAAGAGCTTGCATGTTTGCGCGCCTCTCCACTCAGCTTGCGGCCCTTCACTGCTTTGCGGTCGACAGAACTCATATCTCTTGTTCGTTGGGATCTTAGCGAAGTTCGTCGAGCCTGTAATATTTCCAAAAATGACGACAAAGACAGAAAGATCTGTACTCATTGTGTGAGGACAAGATGTGCCGGAGAGGAATGTAAGTGACGAGTTCAGTCCAGCCGCAGCCGTAATATGTGTACGCGCTGCCTGGAGGAGGACGAGGAGCTAGCTGCATGCGGCGGCAACGTTGATTGGATCTAGTCTTCCGCTGAACAATAGGGTCCTATGTCCGGCGCTTTGATTTGCTACTCGTTCTTTTGCTCCGCCTTGCCTTCGAAACGCCAGACTCTCTCTGCCTGTGCGGTCTCCCCTGCGGCAAGCTCCCTCGTCCATTTGCTTCTTTGTTACAGTGCCTTTGCGTGTCTCCCTTCGCCAAGAACGTCGCGATCAGTTTCCCTTCCTGCAAAGCGGAGTCGACACGGAGCTGATCTGCCTCGTCTTTCCAGTAGTTCTGATCTTCAATTGACTGTCGGCACGCTCGTACTCGATCCCGACTATATCCGGCTCTTTGCAACCGCCGTGCAATGTTGTGTCTTGTGCGTTTCCAGTCTGCCATACAGTGCTCTTGAAATATCTGCGTTAACAGCTCTGCACACAGATGCCGAGCTTCACACTCCCAGTATGAAGGCACTTCGATTGCCTCTCGAATCTCATCCACCTCTTTCGCTGACCGCTTTGCATGCTCTACTTCGCAGATATACTCATAAGACTGCTGTGGATTTGGCTGTTGGAATTTAGGTGGAGGAGTTTCGTCCTGTCGGCGAACGACTTCGGTCTCTAGGCGCGATGCCAGCTCTTCGGCACAGATCGATGGTATGCAAAATTGCGTCGGCGTGCTCATAGTCTGCTGATGAAAAGAGAGATGGTGGGGAGGCAGGTCGATGTTGGAATGATGCTGGAACTTCGAGCAAGGAACGCGACGCATCCGCTTACTAATTTCATTAGATACTAGCCTAATACGGACGACGAAGATCAGCAGAGAGTGCGAACAATCTGCAGTCGAGCTTTCGCTTACTTAGCACTTCTCACTAACAGGATGCTCCTTGCTCCTCTCTCTTCACCCCTGTAGGCTTGCTCCTTGCTCTTCTCTCTTTACAGCTGGAACTGGCTGCTGGGCTGGGCTGCTGGGTACGATGGGCCTATAGCATGTTCGACGTATTTTCCATTGGCTTTGGGCGCGGTAGACGCACATCCATGCAGGTCAATGAATCGCAATGGGTACACCCACTAGTGCGGCCTGTGTCCCGCTCCACCAGAACACAGCAGGTCTCACGCCTGTTGGTCTATCGCTGGTACATGCATAGCATACATACGGTTTTTACCTTACACTGGAATTTGTGCAATGACGACGGTGGCACCAACCATTCGTTTCTCGTCACGCCGACGACGGGTTGTGTGGATAAACGTGAGCATCTGCCAGTACCACCATCATACACGCAAATTGCAGTATTATACAGCATGCTCAGAGTCTAGGTGATGTTTTGATATTAGTCCAGTTTCTTTGAGGCTGTGGTGGATGCAGAATGTGTTTTCCGCTGGCGACAAAGTAAATGTGCTTCGAATCACCAAGGATACATACGACGACGTAAGATCTGTATGTTAGGTTCCTGACGGAATCAGATGTCACTCAATCATGGTGGGACCAGGCACGATCGAGTTAGTACTCATTGAAGTACCTGTGGACAGAAGCGTGGAGCGGGAGCGGTCTGCGGAGGAGTTGCAACACCGTCACAACGCTCGATACGTACACGTACTTTGTCATAACCCTTAGCTCAAGCAGAGAGCAACACCAGCGCTGTGACGCACTTGTCCCGGGGTTCATCGCGAAGCCCTGCCCATGCTCCACGATCAAAGCACCTTCACGACCCGCGCAGATTGCCATAACCATCGCAAGCGATTATGGCGGTCCTCGGATCTCAACCTCACTGCCGTCGCTGCTGTACGCATTTTCCAGTTTTCTTGTCGACCAGCGGGCCGAGTGCAAAAGCTTGAAGATGAGCGTCGACAGCCCGTATAACATCAGCGACAAGACGGACCTAGCGATAGCAGTAGCGACAGTGGCGATGGCATTGAATTATATTCCCTAGATCCGTGATCCAGCGCTACACGTCCTAGTGTTCAGCTGCATGGTGTCTAATGGCCACGATGTCCGGAGTCAGCAGTCCCACTGGAGTGGCAACCTGTCTGTAATATCTGCTGAGCGAGTCGGAATCCCATTGACCGGTTGTGACCGCTACGTGTGCGGCAGCTAGGCCTTCGCTGCAATGATCGACGCCCAATACTTTCGCTTGCAACTTATACCCGTTGATTTTCAAGAACATGTCTGCAGCCACAAGTGCAGCTCTCTTGTTGCCGTCCGCATACGCGTGATTCTTCATTATCTTCTCGGACAGAACTGCGGCAAGCTTAAAGATGTCCGCCTCTTGGGTATAATGCCTGACATTGATCGGGGATTTGACGGCAGACTCTAACATTGCGGGTTGGGTCGGCACTGCATCCGCAATCAAGGTGATATAAAGCCGCTGTATTTGTGCCGCTGTAAGGAACCGGTATGTACGTTGTCGAGATGACATGCTGTAGATGATAGGAAGCCCTTCAAGTCGTGGGCGGTCCGATTTGAGGACTTCTTAAGTATAGGTACGGCAGCGAAGTGGGGTTGGTGCCTAATCAGCCAAGACATCCTAAATAGGATTAGCTTCGAAGCGTTTGTAGACACGTATGCGGCACCATGGAAGTCGTACTCAGTATTGACACAAAAATCCCGAAAGCATCTCCGGCAGCATCCTAAAATATGAAGGCGCTGCTATCAGCTGTGAGCCGTCCGTCAGCCACATCTTGGCTCAGCTCTGCGACACCTAGGCGGCTGCACACCTCGAGTGCTAAACTCGTTACAATCAATGCCAAGGGCGTACCAGAATATAAGGCAGTGTCAATATGGCTCGGTGGAATCAACGAAGCCTTCGCTCTCGTCCCTATCGCTGTTGGCGAAGCACTCAGGACGATGCCAAACCAGAGTGGGCGTTTCCCAAAGCCTGACACTCACCGCCTTACTTTCGACCACTCTAGCCAGGCTTTTATGCAAGGTGAGGAACATCAGGATTTCTATCTCGGACGGTAATCTCACCTTCGCAAAGTGTCAGCACCATATCCTCGCCTAGTACTTGACCGAGATCTTCCAAGGCAGAGCGACCGCGATACCAGTCCAGCGACTCTGTTTTGTTTCGCCGCCACATACACTATTGCATTAGATGGTACAGCGGACGGTATGCTCTTCACTCCTCTCGTGGGTGCTATCGCTAACGTACCAATAGCACACTTTGCCCAGCAGTCAAAAGAAACATATGCCCAGCTAGACTCCACTCTAGACATCTTGAAATCGAGATAATACTGGCACCTCTTCAACATCTATTCCGAGGCGTATGTTAGTGTACAGTGCCTGAAACTACCCCATTGCTTTCCGTAGCGCCTCATTTGTCTTTCGCTCAAAATATTCTAGCCGGGTCTCGACACGATATTACCGGCTCGTTATACTTCCATGGCGGGAGAGATGTAATGGATCTTGTGCGATGAAGTTGACTCTGTCCTTGGATACCAGATATAGGCAGACTCGATAAGCCGGAACCCTCCTATGCATGGGCGGTGCGGACCGAGGATAATCTCAACTACATTTGGCGGAGTGTTGACACATTTGCAACCGTTGGACGTGTCAGGATGTTCCAGCGGCGGCGCCCGTAAATGTTGGAAGGACGAATGCATATGGCTGCACGACGTTGTATGAAGAGACTATAGGGTCATCGCCAGGTCACAGCATTCCTTCGTTGTCTTAACAACTCAGACTGGCGCCTGTTAGGAAGAATATCGCATCGGTCCTCCGTAGTGGGCTCTCACTGCGTAACCTACCCTACTACTAGCATCCGATATTTTAACGTCGAAATATTGGTTTTACATACAAATACCGTCCGGGCGTAAGGCGGAGTCGGCTCCGGCACCCAGAAATATTGGCCCTTGGGATGTTGGCCTGATTTTGGCGACTGCTGCCTGAAACGGCCCAATGCTAGGATCGTTGTTCTTCATCAGCCAATCGTAGAAAGTGAAGTTGCATCCTGGAGTCTAGACCTACACGTAGCTCTGTCTTGTCGAGCGACGTTGGCATTGCGCCAGTGGGTGTACCCGTGCGATTCAGCGACCCGCATGGAACGCAATACCTCGTGCGATACTGGCGGAAAGGAGGATGTGTCAGTATGTGGACGAAGTCCTTTATGCGTGTTGATACTCACCGGTACAATGCCGGGTTATCGGCATTCAACGTACAATGCAGACCTGCGGCCAGAAGCTCTGGGAAGGTGTGCTGTCTTGCGTTCCCACACACCTAGCAGCTCATTGGAGATAGGGCACAGTTCCAAAAAGATCTTCGCATCGGCGTACTTCTTGACCAAGTGGGGATGCTTCAGCAGGGCGTAGCCATGACCAATTCGCTTGGCATTGAGAAGCAGTGCGTCGTAGAGATTACTATTATCGGGGTTGTGAAAGCCAGATTCGGCTTCCGATTCTGTGGTACGAATCCACCGGTAACATGAAAGGTGTGCTGATATCCAGCTTCTCGCACGTCTTTGTAAACGCAAGCAGGAGATCAGCGTAGTGGCCAATGTGATTTGGGCGATCTTCAGCGCCGACCAGGTCGAAGCCACAAGTCAGGATACGCCAGTTTCAACTTGATGCAGTCTTCCAGCTCTGACTTCATCTTGGCGTGTGGTATGCTTCGAGGTGTGCAGTAGATGATCTTGAGCCCGAATGGAAACCGATCGCCGTACTGCTGCTTCTTCTTCTCGACTTCCTCACAGACAATCTCCATCTGCTCGTTGTGGCCGAGCTTGCCCACACCATCGTCAGCTGGGTCTTGACTTGTCCATGAGCATTTGGCGTTTCCAATATACCAGCGATACACGCTCGCATAATTCATAAGCCCCTTAAACGCACGGGTACCTTGGTTGAAGCACGCCCAGACACCGTTGGTTGTTTGATGCTCGGCGTACGCTTTGTTGGGTGTAATGATCATCTTCTCCGGAGCCCAGCATTCCGCACTGTCCAGCTGTTCGTTGCAATTGTCAGCTCAGTACTTTGTTGGCACTTCGCCGAATGTCATGTCTGCAGGAAACTGCTCCCGAAAGTCGGTCCACTTCATCCATGATGCATTTTCTGGGCTCTTCCAATTGATGTCGTAATTCTCTGTGAAGATATTGCCCGTCTTTGTGTCTTTTGGCAGAACATTAAACTGGATTTCTGTTTCCGCAAGATCCTGAGGCTTCAGTAGCGCCCGTTTACTCCGAATGAACATCGTGTTCTTCAATTGTTGTGCGTACGGGAACAGCTTCTCTGCGGGTAGCTCTGCGTTGAAGTAAAGATGGAGATGAGCACCCTTCGGCATGAGGCAGGCAATTTCGAAAATTATGCTCCGCTCGATTCGCTGCTTGTTGACCAAGAACTTGCCGCCCATGTCCAGCTGATCGGGCCTTGGTAGTTCTTCACGGCCCACATTGCCGAACAGTTCGAAGCGCTCGTGCTCTCTGAGTTTGGTAATTACTTCGCCGACTTGCACTTCTAATGACGAAGCACGTTGTCTTGCCGGCTCATCCCAAGCCGACTCGCGCTCGTCGGCTAAGAGCTCCCTTTTCCTCGTCTAACTGCACAGCCGCCGGCAAGTACCAGGCAGCAACTTGCGAAGCCGACGGTATGCCTTGCTTTGGCACTGGCCACCCCCAGCCACTCGCGCAGCCTGTAAACGGGTCTGAGACTGTTGGTCTTCCAGCATTCGCAGCTTGCACAATCTGAACGTAGGTCACTTGACTTTGTGGCTACATCAAAGTGCCTCAATATCTCCACCCCCCCAACCAAGAGCGAAGCTGTGCGAGGACAGCCAGAGCCATTAGTAAGATGACCACTACACATGTGACGGACTTTCATCTAACCATCGCAGTGGTTCTTTCACCGACCGTTTTGGATCCATTCTTTCGGCATGGTCTCGTGCTCGGCGCCATGCGAGAGCCAGAAGCGCAAAACTACCACGACTTCCAGCAAACACCGATGTTGCTGGCATTCCGATTACGGCACGCCTTTCGCAATTAAAGCGTCGAATGCTGGGGCTCTAACGACGGCAAAGCGTATGGTGGTGTTTGTGATGCAAGACGGAGATAAAAGTGGGTACTGATGAAAGGCAGTGATGTTGTTGTAGTTTTCTGAGTCCGCGGCCGGGTGGACCGGGCTCAACTATCTAGTGTCTTAGCAAGCGTGCTCTGCAGTCTCGACTGGTGTTCCCAAAGTGCCTTAGCCTGCGACATTCTGGGAGCGACGGGACCGGCAACGATACCCACTTTCAAGTCCCTGTAGACTGCGATGCAAAGGGAACACGACAGATTCGAACGTGCAAGACGATGAATCCCTTGATGATTAATGCGGATGATGGAGTGGCCTTGACAACTTTGTTTCTGAGTTCGACATCACGTCCTTCGGTGGCAGCTGCGACTTTTTTAGATGTTGGGTGAAAGAACGAGGAGATTCTTGTTACACGTGTCAATACTTTAGAATACATGGTCCCACAACAATTCGCCCAGAAACCGATCCCATCGTGCCATCCATCTATCCCGTTCATGGCACTTCTTTGCAAGCAAGCACACTGCTTTCCTGCACTACGGTGGAGTGAATCAGTGATTATCTGTGGTCAGATGAAGCGGCTGCTCTAGAAGCCTATGTATATGACATGTCTGCGCTCTCGTTCAAGAATGTGGGGTCGTACATGGCAAAGCTCTGTCCCCACGCATTGGTGTTCATACTATGACCGGTCGCATCATCGTCTGTGCCGGACGGACTGTACACTACTACACCAGCAGACTTTTGCGATATCGGCCATCAAAAGCGTGCAAGAGCAGCCATGCAACAAAGTACTGTATGAATCCTCCCAGCCAATCGGTACAGGGAGGAATGGTGGGTCGAAATGCACCATCGGCTGCCTGAATCCTGGTAGAAAGTGCGTCTCGTCCATCTTGTCATGGAAGGAATCCGGCATCGGTGACACCCGGTGTGTATGTTGTGGGTTGATGTTGACATCAGACAAAGGGCATGAATACCCAGTGACCGCGGTTTGTGGCCCGAGTGGCAATGTAGACAGATCACTTGGCTCGTAGAAGCCACCGATGATTGAGGGGTTGGTCGTGCGATGGGGTGTACCTGGATCAAGTTTAAGATGGCGGTGGCTATCTGCTTGAGTCGCGCGGGCTGCCATGATCGGGGATTTGTGAAACGTTTCGACGGATGGAAGATCCTGGACGAGCTCTGCTTTGCTACCGAGGAAGCCGTTATTCGTAGATTGAGCAATTTGCATTGTGGGAGGTAGCGCAGAGTGTTCTGCCGTCTTTGAGGAGCGGTCTGCGTGACGGCCGTAGTATCCACGAAGACATGGCTTTTTTAGATCCCTGCAACGTACACAGTCGCCCTCTTCCTCCCATTTGCATCTGGAATGAGCCACTCGACAACTCTGGCACGGTGGCTTTCGACGTCTCGATCGATGGATGCTGGGCCAGTCTTTCGCAGTTCAAGTCAAGGCGTGAGACAGCCATCCTTTCTCATCACTCGGCTTCTTTCCATTGACTCTCTTCTAAAACATGATCTTTGTATTCATCATGTTCTTTTTGACACTCTCCGCCGACTACCACGGGTTTGCTGGTCCGAGGGAGCATGCGCTTTAGGGCATTCGTCAGATAGATTCGTTCTGGCAGCTCTCGATGGCATGCAGGAGTCCGCAGGTAGCTCCAGCCATGAAGTCGAATGGTTTTCTCCTTAGCAAGTTCGAAAATCTCGGGCTCGTATGTAGCAGGGCACGCTAGTAACAGGGCACGCTAGTAGCAGGGCACGCTAGTAATAGGGCACGCTACGACAAGGCGAAATGTTTTGGCGGCCCGAGCATCCGAAAGAATTTATAAACGAACCCTACATACAGTCCCAGGCTCTTCGCAGTCTCGCCAATCTTACACGTACCCTACGCTCCTCGCATTCTTGCCAATCTTACAAAAGCATGACTAGCACCGTCCCATTCCTGGACGAGCTTTGGGATGACACGTTCTCATACCTGTCAAGCCAAGATATCGGGAGGTGCAGGTTAGCTTGCAAAAAATTTGAGCAGCGGTCGACTCCTTACCTACGACGTCATCGAGTGATCAGGTGGAGGAAGAAAGCGGATCAAGCTTGGCTACGGAACGCAGACCAATATCAGACAATCGCGTGTCATATTGTGAGCCTGACATTCGACTTCAGGGTCGACGTCTCTGCTCAATCACACGCAGCGCCGAGCCAGCAGACATTGTTACGCTTGGCAGATGAGGAAAACGAAGAAAAAAAGTTACTAGATCGTCTTCCAACGGTCTTGTCTCACTTCGAAAGGCTCACATCGGTGCACATTCCGAGCGGACACGGGGTAGATGCTCCAGACGAGGCCGATGATATCCTTGCCTGGGACCCGGGTTCAGATGAAGACGCACTGAAAGTCCTCGATGCTATTGGAGACAGTCTCGGGGGAAGAAACGAAAAATTCGAATTGTTGTCCCTCGGGTCACCACTGTCGGGCATTTCGCTGACATCATTCATCGATTTCAATGGAGTACACGAGTTTGCGTTTGTTGGCTTGAAGAAGCTTCAATTGTCTCTCGAGCTTAGAAGGACGGATCTACCTGAGGTGCTTAGGGTCCGACCACTGAGATCGATATGGGACTGTTGTAGGATTTCGCTTATTTCCTTGGATCTCGCTTTGTCGTGGACGGATGCAGATGGAATTCTTTTGCAAAATGACGAGGACTGGGCCTTGGGCGCCTTTAGCTTTGTGGCATCGTTCTTAACACTTATGGGGCCAGCTCAGCTGCCTGCTTTGCGTCGTCTCAAATGGCGAGGAGGGAAATTTAATGACCGAGACCTAGAATACCTTCGCACGGCGTGCCCGAAGTTACAGGAATTGGTGCTAGAGCAGTGAACCTGTAACCGTTCTACAGCAGTAATCGCTACAATCAGGGGATCCGACGGGTGCTGGACACAGGTTGCCTCAGTCAATCGAAGCGATCGAAGCGTGATGAGGTCAGCTACTCCGTGAAGTTTATTTTTGGCGGAATGTTGAGCCTAATATGTGCTAGCGTCGGTAGAAGGGCCGTTGGCCGAGCGACCGACCTCAGCCCATGTTGACTCTTTGGCGCGACACTCAAACT